ATTTTACACATGCTGGGCCCTTGTTCTTGCAATTTTGCACACCCTGGGCCCTTGTTCTTGCAATTTTGCACACGATGGGACCTTGTTCTTGCAGTTTCGCACACGCTGGGCCCTTGTTCTTGCAATTTTGCATATGATGGGCCCTTGTTCTTTCTATTTTGCACACGCTGGGCCCTTGTTCTTGCAATTTTGCACTCATTGGGCCCTTGCTCTTGCATTTTTGCACACGCTGGGCCCTTGTTCTTGCAAGTTTGCACACGCTGGGCCCTTGTTCTTGCAATTTTGCACACGCTGGGCCCTTGTTCTAGCAATTTTGCACAAGGTGGGCCCTTGTTCTTGCAATTTTGCACAAGGTGGGCCCTTGTTCTTGCAATTTTGCACACGCTAGGGCCTTGTTCTTGCAATTTTGCACACACTGGGCCCTTGTTCTTGCAATTTTGCACACGCTAAGCTCTTGTTCTTGCAATTTTGCACACGCTGGGCCCTTGTTCTTGCAATTTTGCACTCGCTGGGCCCTTGTTCTTGCAATCTTACACTCGCTGGGCCCTTGTTCTTGCAATTTTGCACACGCTGGGTCCTTGTTCTTTCAATATTGCACACTCTGGGCCCTTGTTCTTGCAATTTTGCACACTCTTGGCCCTTGTTCTTGCAATTTTGCACACGCTGGGCCCTTGTTCTTGCAATTTTGCACACGCTGGGCCCTTGTTCTTGAAATTTTGCACACGCTAGGCCCTTGTTCTTGCAAGTTTTCACTCGCTAGGCCCTTGTTTCTGCAATTTTGCACTCGCTGGGCTCTTGGTTCTTGTAATTTTGCACTCGCTGGGCCCTTGTCCTTGCAAGTTTGCATATGCTGGGGCCTTGTTCTTGCAATTTTGCACTCGCTATGCCCTTGTTCTTGCAATTTTGCACACGCTGGGCCCTTGTTCTTGCAATTTTGCACTCGCTGGGCCCTTGTTCTTGCAATTTTGCACTCGCTGGGCCGTTGTATCTCCGACTTTGCACTCGCTGGACCCTTGGTTCTTGCAATTTTGCACATGCTGGGCCCTTGTTCTTGCAATTTTGCACACGCTGGGCCCTTGTTCTTGTTCTTGGAATTTTACACATGCTGGGCCCTTGTTCTTGCAATTTTGCACACCCTGGGCCCTTGTTCTTGCAATTTTGCACACGATGGGACCTTGTTGTTGCAGTTTCGCACACGTTGGGCCCTTGTTCTTGCAATTTTGCACATGATGGGCCCTTGTTCTCTCTATTTTGCACACGCTGGGCCCTTGTTCTTGCAATTTTGCACTCGATGGGCCCTTGTTCTTTCAATTTTGCACATGCTGGGCCCGTGTTCTTGCAATTTTGCACATGTTGGGCCCTTGTTCTTGCAATTTTGCACATGCTGGGCCCTTGTTCTTGCAGTTTTGCGCACGCTGGGCCCTTGTTCTTGCAATTTTGCATAGTCTGGGCCCTTGCTCTTGAAATTTTGCACACGCTCGGCCCTTGTTCTTGCAATTTTGCACACGCTGGGCCCTTGTTCTTGCAATTTTTCACTCGCTAGGCCCTTGTTTATGCAGTTTTGCACTCGCTGGGCTCTCGGTTCTTGTAATTTTGCACTCGCTGGGCCCTTGTCATTGCAATTTTGCACATGCTAGGGCCTTGTTCTTGCAATTTTGCACTCGCTATGCCCTTATTCTTGAAATTTTGGACACGCTAGGCCCTTGTTCTTGCAATTTTGCACACGCTGGGCTCTTGTTATTGCAATTTTGCACACACTGGGCCCTTGTATCTCCGACTTTGCACTCGCTGGACCCTTGGTTCTTGCAATTTCGCACACGCTGGGCCCTTGTTCTTGCAATTTTGCACACGCTGGGCCCTTGTTCTTGTTCTTGGAATTTTAAACATGCTAGGCCCTTGTTCTTGCAATTTTGCACACCCTGGGCCCTTATTCTTGCAATTTTACACACGATGGGACCTTGTTCTTGCAGTTTCGCACACGCTGGGCCCTTGTTCTTGCAATTTTACACATGATGGGCCCTTGTTCTTTCTATTTTGCACACGCTGGGCCCTTGTTCTTGCAATCTTGCACTCGATAGGCCCTTGTTCTTTCAATTTTGCACACGCTGGGCCCGTGTTCTTGCAATTTTACACATGTTGGGCCCTTGTTCTTGCAATTTTGCACATGCTGGGCCCTTGTTCTTGCAGTTTTGCACTCGCTAGGCACTTGTTCTTGCGACTTTGCACACGCTGGGGCCTTGTTCTTGCAATTTTGCACACGCTGGGCCCTTGTTCTTGCAATTTTGCACACGCTAAGCCCTAGTTCTTGCAATTTTGCACACGCTGGGCCCTTGTTCTTGCAATCGCTGGGCCCTTGTTCTTGCAATTTTGCACTCGCTGGGCCCTTGTTCTTGCAGTTTCGCACACGTTGTGCCCTTGTTCTTGCAATTTTGCACATGATGGGCCCTTGTTCTTTCTATTTTGCACACGCTGGGCCCTGGTTCTTGCAATTTAGCACTCAATGGGCCCTTGTTCTTTCAATTTTGCACACGCAGGGCCCGTGTTCTTGCAATTTTGCACATGTTGGGCCCTTGTTCTTGTAATTTTGCACATGCTGGGCCCTTGTTCTTGCAATTTTGCACTCGCTAGGCCCTTGTTCTTGCGATTTTGCACACGCTGGGGCCTTGTTCTTGCAGTTTTGCACACGCTGGGCCCTTGTTCTTGCAATTTTGCACACGCTAAGCCCTTGTTCTTGCAATTTTGCACACGCTGGGCCCTTGTTCTTGCAATCGCTGGGCCCTTGTTCTTGCAATTTTGCACTCGCTGGGCCCTTGTTCTTGTAGTTTCGCACACGATGGGCCCTTGTTCTTGCAATTTTGCACATCATGGGCCCTTGTTCTTTCTATTTTGCACACGGTGGGCCCTTGTTCTTGCAATTTTGCACTCGATGGGCCCTTGTTCTTTCAGTTTCGCACACGCTGGGCCCGTGTTCTTGCAATTTTGCACATGTTGGGCCCTTGTTCTTGCAGTTTTGCACATGCTGGGCCCTTGTTCTTGCAATTTTGCACTCGCTAGGCCCTTGTTCTTGCGATTTTGCACACGCTGGGCCCTTGTTCTTTCAATATTGCACATGCTGCGCCCTTGTTCTTGCAATTTTGCACACTGTAGGCCCTTGTTCTTGCAATTTTGCACACACTCGGCCCTTGTTCTTGCAATTTTGCACACGATGGGCCCTTGTTCTTTCAATTTTGCACACGCAGGGCCCTTGTTCTTGCAATTTTGCACACGCTAGGCCCTTGTTCTTGCAATTTTGCACACGCTGGGCCCTTCTTGCAATTTTGCACACGCTGGGCCCCTGTTCTAGCAATTTTGCACACGGTGGGCCCTTGTTCTTGCAATTTTGCACACGCTGGGCCCTTGTTCTTGCAATTTTGCACACCCTAAACCCTTGTTCTTGCAATTTTACAATCGCTGGGTCCTTGTTCTCGCATTTTTGCACACGCTGGGCCCTTGTTCTTGCAATTTTGCACACACTGGGCCCTTGTTCTAGCAATTTTGCACACGTTGGGCCCTTGTTCTTGCAATTTTGCACACGGTGGGCCCTTGTTCTTGCAATTTTGCACACGCTGGGGCCTTGTTCTTGCAATTTTGCATTCGCTGGGCCCTTGTTCTTGCAATTTTGCACACGCTAAGCCCTTGTTCTTGCAATTTTGCACAAATAGGAATTATGAATGAAGTGAGTACAAATAGGAATCCCTGATTGGGTTGTACCCCCTATGGGATACCCCACTATAGCCTACACAACAACATAAGCTATAATGTTCTGACACACCCCCATAGGCAAAGTGGGGGAGAACAAGGGGTCACAAGACTAGTCAAGCAAAGCAAAGCAAAGCTCAGGGTGGATCACAAAGTCACCACACATTCCGAGCACAAGTTCAAAGGCCAAAGGGCCAGTTCACATGCAAGATCACATATATATATACAAGAGGCTAAGCAAGCAAGAGCAGGAGTATATATATGTGACAATACAAGCAAGGTCAAGAAGTGAGCAAGTGAGGCAAGACAGGCACAAGACCCAGCTGAGTGCAGAAGCGCTGATGATCACAAGGCGCAAGTGCCTTGGTGAAGACATCAGCAGTGTTGGCCTCAGAGGCCACGTACGCAAGCCGCAACTGTCCACGCTGCTGTAGCTCACGAGCAAGAAAGTAGCAGAGAGCAATGTGCTTTGTCCTGTGCTCCAGTCGCTGCTCTCGACACAAGGCCAGCATGGCCTTGTTGTCTACGTACAGGACTGGAGGAGAACGAGGCGGCTCTCCGAGGTTGGTCAGCAGGTAGGTGAGCCAGCGAAGCTCCTAGGCAGCCATAGCCCTGGCGTAGATCTCAGCCTCACAACTGGAGCCGAGAACAGAAGACGAACGGGTAGCCCGCCACGAAACAGAGCCGGAACCAAGGCTGAAGGTGTAACCCTGTGACGACCGCTTCGTAGCCTGGTCGTCAGCCCAAGAAGCGTCCGCGTGCCCAGTGAGGACCACTGGACTCCGCCCTCCAAGCACAAGCCCCATGCCCGACGTACTGCACAAGTAGCGCAACACCCTCTTCGCTGCAGCCATGTGCTCTGGTCGGTGTCTCCCAGGAGCAACATAGCGTGCTAGAATGCTAAGAGGGTATGCAAGGTCAGGTCGTGTGCAGGTCATCAGGTACATGAGGCAGCCAACAAGCTCTGGATACGGGCCACTCGACTCTACGGACTCATCCGAAGGCAGAGCTGAGAGCGAGTGGCGAGTAGGCAGAGGAGTGGCCTGAGGCGAGGAGTACGTGAAGCCGAAGCGCTGAAGGACCTGCTGCACCATGTGTGACTGAGTCAGGGTAATGGTGCGGCGTGCTCTGTCCCGGGTGATCTGCAAGCCAAGGTAGCTGCGCAGTTCACCCAGGTCAGTGCACGTGTGTCTCTTCTGCAGCTCGAACTTCACGTAGGCGAGTCCAGCAGTGTCAGCTGTGGCAAAGACCAAGTCGTCGACTTACACGAGGATGTAGAACGGCGGCAGAGAGGTGTCGGTGCGCAGAAACAACGATGGGTCGGCAGTAGAAGGAGCAAACCCAAGTGCCGCCAGAGTAGTCCTCAGTGTGTCGTGCCACTCACGTGGCGCCTGGCGGAGACCGTAGACTGGACGCCGGAGACTCCACTGGGTACCAGGAGGGAAAGACCCAGTGAAGCCAGGTGGGCGGCGCAGCGAGATCTCCTCGTGCAGGCTGCCCTGCAAGAAAGCTGTGCTGAAGTTGAGAGAGTGCAGCTCGTAGTCACGGTGAGCAGCAACGTGCAGCAGTATCCGAAGAGTGGTCATCTTCTGGGTGGGGGAGAAGGTCTGAAAGTAGTCAACTCCCTGCCGCTGACTGAAGCCATGAGCCACGTAACGCGCCTTGAAGACAGGCGGAGAACCCGGCGGCCGCTTCACCCCGAAGATCCACATGCCACTGACGATGTTCGCCCCAGGAGGGGGGACAGCGTCAACGTAGGTGCGTGTGGACTTCCAGGAAGCCATCTCTGCATCCATAGCTGCCTGCCAATGAGAGGAGTAGAGACCCTCTATCGCCTCCGCGTAAGAGCGCGGAGTCGGGATGTCAAGTGCATCCGGGTCTCCCTCAGGGGTAAGCAGTACGGACACGAGATGAGGTGAAGCAGCGGCCAGACACTGGAACTCCTCCTGCCTGTCCTCAAGGACGTCCGTGCCAAGGGCACACTCACCCCCGACGGACGGAGGACAGACAGACTCAGACTCAGCGACAAGACTAGCAGCGTAGTCTAGACGACAACGAGCAGCAAAGTCGACGAGCTCAGCAACAAGGGCAGACGCAGCAGTAGACTCGAAAGAAGGGTCAGTGACGGCAGTAGCAAGGAGACGCGTGACAGTGGGACTGGCAGCACGAAGAGAGTCCGACTCCGGGTCGGCAAGAGCAGGAAGAGAGGACGCAGGAGGAGAAGGCAAAGGGGCACGCAGAGGAGCAGTAGACGGACGCAGAGACATCCGGTGCGTGCCAGGGACAGGAGGAGGACGCTGACGCGAACCGCGACCACTAGCGCGCACAGCACGAACAGGCGACGCAGGACGAGATGCAGGCTCACGATGCTCAGTAAGACCTCCAGTAGGACCAGCGTAGGGAGAAGGAGCAGGCAAAGGAGAGGCAGGCTGTAGCTGTGACTGTGACTGGACAGGCTGTGGACCCTCTAAGGGAGGAGGAGGAGGACCAGTAGAAGGTGTAAGACCAAGAACCTGCTGCAGCAGTGGAACGAAATACGGTCGAGGCCGCGCGGCGACACGAGAAACAGCAGGGACAGCACCAGGACCCCCAGCAGGAGTACCCGCTCCAGCAGCACCTCCAGCAGCACCTCCAGCAGCTCCAGAACCCCTAGCAGCACCTCAAGCAGCTCCAGAACCTCCAGCAGCACCAAGAGCACCGCAAGCAGGACCGCCAGTGGTAGTCTCAGCGCCAACACCTTTAGCAGCACCAGCTCTAGTCGAACTTGCAGGCCCAGCAGCTCCAGTACTCCCAGGACGAGCACCTTCGGGACCCGCGACAGCAGCACCCTCAGTGGCCGACGAACCTCCAGCACCAGCAGCACAGCTCCTGCGCCGGGCAAACCACTCGCGCAGCTCCTGTGGAGAGAGTGGCTCCCGGCGAGACGAAGCACCCGGAGAACCTCTAGGCGGAGAACCTCCAGGCTCAGCACCCCCAGACCCAGCACCCGGAGGCAAGGCACCTCCAGGTGTAGCACCCCCAGGCTCAGCACCCCTAGGCTCCACACCCTCAGGCCCAGCACCCCTAGGCTCAGCACCCCCAGGCTCAGCACCCCCAGGCTCAGCACCCCCAGGCTCAGCACCCCCAGGCTCAGCACCCCCAGGCCCAGCACCCCCAGTCTCAACACCCCTAGGCTCAGCACCCTCAGCAGCACCAGAGTCACCAGTGACCTCGACAGGCTCGACTGCGTCTACCTGGGACACACTTGAAGGGGCAGGACCCTGAGGGGGGAGGGGGTCTACCGAGGGGGGACCTGGTACAAGGAAGAGCGGGGGCGGGGGGAGGGACGGAGTGCGGTAGGGGAAGAGGCGGTAGTAGGGTACCGACTCGTTGAACGTGACGTCCTGGAAGGACAGAACACGGCGAGAGGTGGGGTGGTAGAACTGCCACCCAGGGGCGTCGGGGGGGAACCCCAGGAAGACGCAGGGAGCAGCGCGAGGGGACAGCTTGTCCGCAGACAAGTCGCAGACAAACGCCCGAGATCCCCAGACCCGGAACGCCGACGCATCGCCAACCTTCCCCGTCCACAGCAGGGCTGGGGAGGTCTCCGGCATGGAGACCCTAGGGTGAAGGTTGATCTGATGCGCCGCGTACCTAACTGCAAACGGCCACAGAAAATGGGGGGCAGCCGCATGCATCATAGACGTACGAGCGACGTTCATGACCATGCCAATGCGGCGCTCTGCAATCCCATTTTGCTGCGGTGAGTCCGGAAGCGTGAAGGTCCGACGGATGCCTCGCGCACGACAGTAGGCACGCAGAAGGCCAGAGGAGAACTCTCCGCCTCAGTCCGAGTGCAGACGCAGAACAGGAAAGTCCGAGCCAAAGCTCTGCCTGAGCTGGAGACGAGCTGCGCGGATCCAGTCTATCAGCACCTCAGTGACATCACCCTTGCTGCGCAAGGGGAAGACTGTGGTGTAACGCGAGTAGTCGTCAACCACCAACAGGAAGTAGCGCTCGTGACCTAGTCCACGGACGCGGGCAGGGCCCCACACGTCCATGTGAAGCGTCTGCAACCGGGCCTCTGTCGGAGGAAACTGGGAGGAGTGAGGGACAGCACGCTGGCGCCCCTCGACACAGGGGACACAGGCAGGGCCAGGGCCCTGAGGAAGGGGAGGGAGGGACCGGGGGAGACCAGACACAAGAAGACGGGAGGCCATGCCTCTGAGCCGAAGCAGAGAGGGGTGACCAAGGCGGTGGTGCCAGAGGAGAGTCTCGTGAGACAGGCGACGACACGAACAGGGGGCAAACTCAGGACCAGACCTGGACGCTGCAGCAAACACCTGACCAGACGCAGGGACCCTACCAGACTCAGCAACTGGAGGAGAAGCAGTGGTCAGATTGTACAGGCTCGACCCTGGCTGACGTGTAAACGTAGCCAGGTGGCGACCTGTGCTAGCCTCTGTGCAGTGCGTCACCCGCTGACGAGCAGGAGTGAACTGGTGGACACCTGCATCCTGTAGGTCAGCACCACTCACCAAGTTTGTAGAGAACGAGGGGAGGTAGAGACCAGACAGGGTGCCAGAGGGAGCCGCCGGACACGGGAGGACTGTGGAGAAGCGAGACAGGACAGGACCCCCAGAGGGGTCAGCCAGGGACACCGCAACCGGCCGACTAAGCGGCGTGGGTGTGGTGCGGTCCCGAAAGAAGGAGCGAGACGCCCCAGAGTCAAGGGTGAAGGTGTGAGAGGCCGAAGCCGACGTAGTACCTGAGAGCGCAGACTCACTAGTACCTGAGAGCGCAGACTCACCAGTACCTGGGAGCACAGACGCACTGGCACCTAGAGCAGTAGCCTCACTGGCACCTAGAGCAGCAGTACCAATGCCCGGGTCGGGCAGGAAACACCGGTAACAGTCACCCTCATCACTAATAGTCACAGCATACATGGCAGCAAGGATAGCATCAAAGTCAAGATCAAAGATAGCTACACCAGCCCTAGACAGCTCTCCCCAGCGGGGGATCTCAGTGGCCTCCGGGAACTGCTGGCGCCAAGCAACCGTCACGCGGCCAAAGCAGCGCTGGGCGGGGTGGGCACCCCCACACTGCTCACCCGCGCGGTCGCTGGTGCGAAGGACGTAGGTGCAGGGACCAAAACCCCCACCACGCTGACGCTGCGTGTACCACTCACGGAGCTGCTGAGGGGTGGGGACGTCGCGAGAACGCTGCTGCTGCTGCTCGCACTGACCACCCCCAGTGCTGCTCCGCTGCGAAGCGCCACTCCGACCACCTCCACCACCTCCACCTCCGCCGCCTCCACCTCCACCACCACCGCCGCCCCCGCCAGTAACGCCGCTGCCACCGCCGCCTCCGCCTCCACTGCCGCCACTAGCACCTCCACCCCCTCCACCACCTCCACCGCCACCCCCACTCCCTCCGCCACCTCCACCTCCACCTCCACCGCCCCCGCTAGCTCCACCCGCGCCCTTGCCCCCCTTGCCCTTGCCAGGGCGGCGTCTCCCGCTAGGGGCGGACGCCGCACCGACCGACTCAAGACCAATGAGGTCGGCCGCAGCGGCAGAGGCGACAGAGGGCAACAGGGGGGAAGGAGAACACCCCTCAAAGATGGGGGTGCGAGGGTCACCACGAGAGGCCCCTACAGCGACTATGCTCTTCTCTGCCGCTAGGAGGGACTTCTCGAGGAGGTCTACAGTGAGAGTGGTGGGACAGACTGAGAGGAAGTGGTCCCTGACTACACGAAGGGAGTCAGGGAGACGAGTGACTATGAAATAGAGAGTGATGTACATGGGGGGGGGTTCTTGGCGCAGAAGTCAGCAGGAAGCGCAGCGCGGTAGCGAGTGTCACTAGTGCGGAGGTGCGTAATGAGGTCAGCGACTGTGGGAAAGGCAGCAAGGTCAGGGAAGAGGAAGGGTAGCATGAGGCGGCTCAGTGCAGCAGTGGCAGGGGAGGAGTAGCGCGCAACTACAGCGTCGTACAAGGTCTGAGCACTCTTGTACTGACTAAAGTGCGCGCGCTCAGCGGTAGGCAGGTGGCGACGCACAGCAAGACGTGCAGCAGCATCGCGTGTGGCCCACTGGGAGCGAACAGTGGGGTCAGCATCAGCAGCAGGGGCAAGGGAGGCGCCAGAGGTGAGGTCAAAGAGAGAAAGACCGTCTGCCCTGTCGCACTGTAAGAACAGCTGCAGCTCGTCGACCCAGACCTCAAAGTCAATGGCGCGACCCCCAGCGTCAAAAGCTAGGACACTAGGGGTAGCCATGATAGCAATCGACGATCTCACCAGACAGGACGGGTCGGGCAGCTCAGCAGCACAGCAACACGGCAACACTGCTGCTCGGCCGGCCGAGCAGCAACAGTAGCTCCGGGGGACCAGCGGCTCGGCTCCTCAGGTGACTCGGGCGGCTCGGGCGGCGCAGGCGACTCGGGCGGCTCGGGCGGCTTGGGCGGCTCGGGCACTCAGCGGCACAGGCGGCTCGGGCAGCTCGGCTCCGCAGCGGCACAGGCGGCTCGGGCGGCTCGGGTGGCGCAGGTGGCACGGGCGGCTTGGGCGGCTGGGTGTCACAGCAGCGTACGGGCGGCGTGGGGCCGGGACGGGTGGCGCACGGGCGGTGTGGGGCCGGGACGGCGGCGCACGGCTGGGACGGGCGGCGCACAGGCAGCGTGGGGCCGGGACAGCGGCGCGCGGCCGGGACGGTTGGGGCACGGGCGGCTGGGAGCGGGGCCGGGACGGGCGACGCACGGGCGGCTTGGGGCCAGGACGGCGGCGAGGGGCCACGGCGGGCAGCGCACGGGCGACGAGGGGCCGGGACGGCTGTGCGCGGCCGGGACGGGCGGCGCACGGGCGGCGTGGGGCCGGGACGAGCGGCGCGCGGGCGTCTAAGGGCGGCGCGCGGGCGTCTAGGGGCCGGGACGGGCAGCGCGCGAGGGTCTAGGGGCCGGGACAGGCGGCGCGCGGGCGTCTAAGGGCGGCGCGCGGGCGTCTAGGGGCCGATAGGGCAGGTCGACAAAGTTTGAGAGAGGGCCCGGAGCGCAACTCAGGGCGACCGCGCTTCGGGCAGGAAAAAAAAGAATATCGATGTGGTCGGCCCTAAGCACAGTTCCCACGGGGGAACCTGCTCGATACCATGAGAAAACTAGAACGAGAATGAATGAATTATGAATGAAGTGAGTACAAATAGGAAACCTTGATTGGGCTGTAACCCCTATGGCCTGCACAACAGCATAAGCTATAATGTTCTGACAGCTGGGCCCTTGTTCTTGCAATTTTGCACTCGCTGGGCCCTTGTTCTTGCAATTTTGCACTCGCTGGGCCCTTGTTCTTGCAATTTTGCACACGCTGGGTCCTTGTTCTTTCAATATTGCACACGCTGCGCCCTTGTTCTAGCAATTTTGCACTCTCTAGGCCCTTGTTCTTGCAATTTTGCACACGCTGCGCCCTTGTTCTTCCAATTTTGCACACAATGGGCCCTTGTTCTTTCAATTTTGCACACGCTGGGCCCTTGTTCTTGCAATTTTGCACACTCTAGGCCCTTGTTGTTGCAATTTTGCACATGCTCGGCCCTTGTTCTTGCAATTTTGCACATGCTGGGCCCTTGTTCTAGCAATTTTGCACACGGTGGGCCCTTGTTCTTGCAATTTTGCACACGGTGGGTCCTTGTTCTTGCAATTTTGCACACGCTGGGCCCTTGTTCTTGCAATTTTGCACTCGCTGGGCCCTTGTTCTTGCATTTTTGCACACGCTGGGCCCTTGTTCTTGCAATTTTGCGCACGCTGGCCCTTATTCTTGCAATTTTGCAAACGCTGGGCCCTTGTTCTAGCAAATTTGGCACACAGTGGGCCCTTGTTCTTGCAATTTTGCACACGCTGGGCCCTTGTTCTTGCAATTTTGCACACGCAGGGCCCTTGTTCTTGCAATTTTGCACTCGCTGGGCCCTTGTTCTTGCATTTTTGCACACGCTAGGCCCTTGTTCTTGCAATTTTGCACTCGCTGGGCCCTTGTTCTTGCATTTTTGCACACGCTGGGCCCTTGTTCTTGCAATTTTGCACACGCTAGGCCCTTGTTGTTGCAATTTTGCACACGGTGGGCCTTTGTTCTTGCAATTTTGCACACTCTAGGCCCTTGTTGTTGCAATTTTGCACACGCTCGGCCCTTGTTCTTGCAATTTTGCACACGCTAGGCCCTTGTTCTAGCAATTTTGCACACGGTGGGCCCTTGTTCTTGCAATTTTGCACACGGTGGGCCCTTGTTCTTGCAATTTTGCACACGCTGGGCCCTTGTTCTTGCAATTTTGCACTCGCTGGGCCCTTGTTCTTGCATTTTTGCACACGCTGGGCCCTTGTTCTTGCAATTTTGCACACGCTGGCCCTTGTTCTTGCAAATTTGCACACGCTGGGCCCTTGTTCTAGCGATTTTGGCACACGGTGGGCCCTTGTTCTTGCAATTTTGCACACGCTGGGCCCTTGTTCTTGCAATTTTGCACACGCAGGCCCCTTGTTCTTGCAATTTTGCACTCGCTGGGCCCTTGTTCTTGCATTTTTGCACACGCTAGGCCCTTGTTCTTGCAATTTTGCACTCCCTGGGCCCTTGTTCTTGCATTTGTGCACACGCTGGGCCCTTGTTCTTGCAATTTTGCACACGCTAGGCCCTTGTTCTTGCAATTTTGCACACGCTGGGCCCTTGTTCTAGCAATTTTGCACACGGTGGGCCCTTGTTCTTGCAATTTTGCACACGATGGGCCCTTGTTCTTGCAATTTTGCACCCGCTGGGCCCTTGTTCTTGCATTTTTGCACTCGTTGGGCCCTTATTCATGCATTTTTGCACTCGCAGGACCCTTGTTCTTGCAATTTTTCACACGCTAGGCCCTTGTTCTTGCAATTTTGCACACACTGGGCCCTTGTTCTTGCAATTTTGAACACGCTGGGTCCTTGTTGCAAATTTGCACACGCTGGGCCCTTGTTCTTGAAATTTTGCACACGCTGGGCCTTTGTTCTTGCAAATTTGCACACGCAGGGCCCTTGTTTTTGCAATTTTGCACACGCTAAGCCCTTGTTCTTGCAATTTTGCACACGTAGGGACCTTGTTCTTGCAATTTCGCACTCGCTGGGCCCTTGTTCTTGCAATTTTGCACACATTGGGCCCTTGTTCTTGCAATATTGCACACGCTGGGCCCTTGTTCTTGCAGTTTTGCACATGCTATTCCCTTGTTCTTGCAATTTTGCACACGCTGGGCCCTTGTTCTTGCAATTTTGCACACGCTGGGCTCTTGTTCTTGCAATTTTGCACACGCTGGGCCCTTGTTCTTGCAATTTTGCACACGCTGGGCCCTTGTTCTTGCAATTTAGCACATGCTGGGCCCTTGATCTTGCAATTTTGCACATGCTGGGTCCTTGTTCTTGCAATTTTGCACACGCTCGGTCCTTGTTCTTGCAATTTTGCACTCCTTGTGCCCTTGTTCTTGCATTTTTGCACTCGCTGGGCCCTTGTTCTTGCAATTTTGCACACAGTGGGCTCTTTTTCTTGCAATTCTGCACACACAGGGCCCTTGTTCTTGCAATTTTGCACACGGTGGGCCCTTCTTATTGTAACTTTGCACACGCTGGGCCCTTCTTCTTGCAATTTTGCACACGCTGGGCCCTTGTTCTTGCAATTTAGCACATGCTGGGCCCTTGATCTTGCAATTTTGCACACGCTGGGCTCTTGTTCCTGCAATTTTGCACTCGCTGGGCCCTTGTTGCTGCAATTTTGCACTCGCTGGGCCCTTGTTCTCTCATTTTTGCACTCACTTGGCCCTTGTTCTTGCAATTTTGCACATGCTGGGCCCTTGTTCTTGCAATTTTCCACAAGCTAAGCCCTTGTTCTTGCAATTTTGCACACGCTGGGCCCTTGTTCTTGCAATTTTTCTCTCGCTGGGCCCTTGTTCTTGCAATTTTGAACTCGCTGCGCCCTTGTTCTTGCAATTTTGCACACGCTGGGCCCTTGCTCTTGCAATATTGCACACGCTGCGCCCTTGTTCTTGCAATTTTGCACACGCTAGGCCCTTGTTCTTGCAATTTTGCACACGCTGGGCCCTTGTTCTTGGAATTTTGCACACGATGGGCCCTTGTTTTTTTAAATATTGCACACGCTGGGCCCTTGTTCTTGCAATTTAGCACACGCTAGGCCCTTGTTTTTGCAATTTTGCACACGTTGGGCCCTTGTTCTTGCAGTTTCGCACACGCTGGGCACTTGTTCTTGCAATTTTGCACTCGCTAGGCCCTTGTTCTTGAAATTTTGCACTCGTTTGGCCCTTGTTCTTCCAATTTTGCACACGCTGGGCCCTTGATCTTGCAATTTTGCACACGCTCGGCCCTTGTTCTTGCAATTTTACACACGCTGGGTCCTTGTTCTTGCAAATTTGCATACGCTGGGCCCTTGTTCTTGAAATTGTGCACACGTTGGCCCCTTGTTCTTGCAATGTTTCACACGCTGGGCCCTTGTTCTTGATATTTTGCACACGGTGGGCCCTTCTTGTTATAATTTTGCACACGCTCGGCTCTTGTTCTTGCAATTTTGCACACGCTGGGCCCTTGTTCTTGCAATTTAGCACATGCTGGGCCCTTGATCTTGAATTTTTGCACACGCTGGGCTCTTGTTCTTGCAATTTTGCACTCGCTGGGCCCTTGTTGTTGCAATTTTGCACTCGGTGGGCCCTTGTTGCATTTTTGCACTCACTGGGCCCTTGATCTCTCATTTTTGCACTCACTTGGCCCTTGTTCTTGCAATTTTGCACATGCTGGGCCCTTGTTCTTGCAATTTTGCACACGCTGGGCCCTTGTTCTTGCAATTTTTCTCTCGCTGGGCCCTTGTTCTTGCAATTTTGAACTCGCTGGGCCCTTGTTCTTGCAATTTTGCACACGCTGGGCCCTTGTTCTTGCAATATTGCACACGCTGCGCCCTTGTTCTTGCAATTTTGCACACGCTAGGCCCTTGTTCTTGCAATTTTGCACACGGTGGGCACTTGTTCTTGCAATTTTGCACACGCTAGAACCTTGGCCTTGCAATTTTGCACACGCTGGGCCCTTGTTCTTGCAATTTTGCACTCGCTGGGCCTTGTTTTTGCAATTTTGCACACGCTGGATCCTTGTTCTTGCAATTTTGCACTCACTAGGCCCTTGTTCTTGGAATTTTGCACTCGATGGGCCCTTATTCTTGCAATTTTGCACTCGCTAGGCCCTTGTTTTTGCAGTATTGCACACGCTGGGCCCTTGTTCTTGCAATTT